CTCCTAATAATAGAGAGATTCTTAGTTGTTCTCCTATTATTCGAGAGAGGTTGTATTTCCCACATTACTTAGTGAAATCCTTCTATACTTGTCTGTGGACGTAGCCTAATTGGATGAACCACGTAAATTCTTGTGTGTTCCATTTCTTATTTTATCTTGTCTCTTATCTTTTATCTTGTCGGGTTTGCATGCCAGCATCCTAACAGTGGTATCAGAGCTTTTTGGTTGGTGTTGTTAATACACAAAGTTATTCGTGCTTACGAGTACTATTCACCTATACGGCTCTATTCATCTATACGGTATTGTTCACGAAGGTTATTGTTGGCGTATATAGAAAGTCAGTGCGGTGATTAAATACAGTCTAGAAAATTCTGTCTAAGGAGATTGGGTTTTAAGCGGGACCGTTTGTGACCCCTCCAATCTTTCCTGGGAACTTACTTAGTGAAGTATTATTCACACGATACTATTTCTATATACGTTACAGATCTGTGAAACGGTGATAGCTGAATAGATCTTGGTGAATACAATGGCAGCAAAGTACGAGATTGAGAGGTTTAATGGGAGCAATTTCTCATTATGAAAAATGAGAATCAAGACAATCTTAAGAAAAGACAATTGTTTAGCAGCAATTGGGGATCGGCCCGCGGAGATCACTGATAATACAAAATGGAATGAGATGGATGGCAATGTTATTGCTAACATACATTTAGCATTAGCCGATGAAGTGTTATCAAGTGTGGCGGAAAAGAAAACAACTAAGGAGATATGGGAGACTCTAACAAAGCTATACGAGTCCAAGTCTTTGCACAATAAGATTTTCTTAAAGCGGAGACTTTATACCCTTCGAATGGCAGAAACCACGTCGGTGACTGACCACATCAACACAATAAGAACTCTATTTTCACAACTCACTACATTGGGCTAGCAAATAGAGGAAAATAAACGTGCAGAGCTTCTACTTCAAAGTCTTCCTGATTCGTATGATCAGCTCATTATCAACTTGACAAATAATATCCTCTCAGATTATGTAGTCTTCGATGATGTTGCAGCCGCTATCTTGGAAGAAGAAAATAGGCGCAAAAACAAAGGAGACAGAAACAGTTCAAACCAAGCAGAGGCATTGTTGGTGTCAAGAGGAAGATCAACGGAGCGTGGCTCTAGTGGGAGTCAAAGGCAGGGGAGGTCCAAATCAAGAAGTAAGAAGGCTGTGAAATGCTACAACTGTGGCAAAAAGGGGCACTTCAAAAAGGATTGTTGGTTTAAAAAGGGTATAGAGAATTCTGCAGAGTCATCAAAATCTCAAGGGTGTGTTGCGAGCACCTCAGAAGATGGAGATGTTTTATATAGTGAAGCAGTGACAATCTCTACAGATACAGAAGAGCTCACTGAGGTCTGGCTAATGGATTCAGGAGCAACATGACATATGACTCCTAATCGAGATTGGTTCCATACATATAAACCTATCTCTGGAGGCAAAGTGTTCATGGGTGATAATCATGCTTTAGAGATTGTTGGCATTGGTACCATCAAATTGAAGATGTATGATGGTTTGATTCGTACTATTTCAGAAGTGCGACATGTGAAAGACTTAAAGAAGAATCTTTTGTCTATAGGACAATTTGATAGTCTTGGCTGTAAGATCCGAACAGACAATGGAATTATGAAAATCATCAAAGGAGTGCTGGTGGTTTTAAAGGCAAGAAAGACAGTTGCAAATGTATTTGCATTAATGGGAGAAACACATCATGAGGCAGAAGCATCAATCACATTAGCCAGTCCTGCAGAAGAGAAGACGATGATGTGGCATCAAAAACTAGGTCACATGTCAGAAAAAGGTTTAAAGGTTCTCTCTGATCAGAAGTTACTCCCTAGGCTTACAAAGGTTACTTTACCTTTTTGTGAGCATTGTGTTACAAGTAAACAACACAGGTTGAAGTTTGGCACATCTACAACTAAGAGCAAATGCATCTTAGACCTGATTCACTCTGATGTTTGGCAAGCACCGGTTGTATCTTTGGAAGGAGCAAGATACTTTGTATCATTCATAGATGACTTCTCCAAGAGATGTTGGGTGTATCCAATTAGAAGGAAGGCAGATATGCTTACAGTCTTTAAAACTTTCAAAGCGCGGGTGGAACTTGAATCTGAAAAGAAGATCAAGTGTTTGAGGACTGACAATGGAGGAGAATATACCAGTGATGAATTTGATAACTTCTGTCAATATGAAGGTATCAAAAGGCAGTTCACAACGGCATACACTCCACAACAAAATGGAATGGCAGAGCGGATGAACAGAACTCTATTAGAAAGAACAAGAGCAATGTTGAAGGCTGCAGGTCTACGAAAGTCATTCTGGGCAGAAGCAGTCAATACCGTCTGTTATGTGATAAATCGATCTCCATCAACCGCAATTGAGCTAAAGACACCGATGGAGATGTGGACTGGAAAACCAGCTGATTATTCTCGATTGCATATATTTGAAAGTCCTGTGTACGTGATGTACAATACACAAGAAGTTAGCAAGCTGGATTCAAAATCCAGAAAATGTATATTCTTGGGATATGCTGATGGAGTGAAGGGGTATCGCTTGTGGGATCCCACTGCCCACAAGGTAGTGATCAGCAGAGATGTCATATTTGCAGAAGGTAAAATGCAAATAGAAGAACATAATAGCATTCTAAAGGAGACTACAGCAGTCCATGTGGAAAATACTCAGAATCATGCTTCTTTTGAAGCTGTACTAGAGCACGAAGAGCAAGAACAAATAGAGTCTGAAACTCCTGAAGTTCGGCGGTCGACTCGTGAAAGAAGACCACCGGCTTGGCACTCAGAATATGTTACTAAAAGTAACATTGCATACTGTCTTCTAACAGAGGATGGAGAGCCATCAACTTTCTATGAGGCTATTAAAAGCACAGATGTGTCTATGTGGATGACAGCAATGCAAGAGGAGATTGAAGCTCTGCACAAGAATAATACTTGGGATCTTGTTCCGCTACCACAAGGAAGAAAGGCCATTGGCAATAAATGGGTTTATAAGATAAAACGTGATGGCAATGATCAAGTGGAGCGGTATCGTGCAAGATTGGTGGTGAAAGGATATGTTCAGAAAGAAGGAATAGACTTCAATGAGATATTTTCTCCGGTGGTACGACTTACGACAATCAGAGTAGTCTTGGCAATGTGTGCTATATTTGATCTTCACTTAGAGCAGTTAGACGTGAAAACTGCATTTCTTCATGGAGAACTTGAAGAAGAAATTTATATGCTCCAACCAGAGGGTTTTGCTGAAACAGGCAAGGAGAACTTGGTTTGCAAGTTGAACAAATCTCTATATGGTCTCAAACAGGCGCCGAGGTGTTGGTATAAGAGATTTGATTCCTTCATAATTAGCCTTGGGTACAACAGACTCAGTTCAGACCATTGTACGTATTACAAGAGGTTTGAAGAAGATTTCATCATTTTGTTGTTGTACGTGGATGACATGTTGGTGATAGGCCCCAACAAAGATCAAGTCCAAGAATTAAAGGCACAGTTGGCTAGGGAATTTGATATGAAGGACTTGGGACCAGCAAACAAGATTCTAGGGATGCAAATTTACCGAGACAGAAGTAAGAGGAAGATTTGGCTTTCTCAAAAGAATTATTTGAAGAAGATCTTGCGACGCTTCAACATGCAAGATTGTAAGCCAATTTCCACCCCACTTCCTATTAACTTCAAATTATCCTCAAGTATGTCTCCTAGCAATGAAGCAGAGAGGATGGAGATGTCTCGAGTACCGTATGCATCAGCAGTGGGAAGTTTAATGTTTGCCATGATATGTACAAGACCAGACATTGCACAAGCAGTGGGAGCAGTTGGTCGATACATGGCAAATCCTGGTAAAGAGCATTGGAATACTATTAAGAGGATCTTGAGATACATCAAGGGTACCTCAGATGTTGCATTATGTTATGGAGGATCAGAATTTACTATCAGAGGATATGTTGATTCAGATTTTGCTGGTGACCTTGAGAAAAGGAAGTCCACTACAGGCTATGTGTTCATAATTGCAGGAGGAGCTGTGAGCTGGGTTTCTAAACTTTAGACTGTTGTAGCGTTATCCACAACAGAAGCTGAGTACATGGCAGCTACACAAGCTTGTAAAGAAGCAATATGGATGAAGAAACTTATGGAGGAGCTCGGGCACAAACAAGAGAATATTCTTTTGTATTGTGATAGTCAAAGTGCCTTGCATATTGCAAGGAATCCAGCATTTCATTCAAGAACAAAACACATCGATGTTCAGTATCACTTTGTTCGTGAAGTGGTGGAAGATGGAAGTGTGGATTTTCAGAAGATTCACACAAAGGAAAACCCAGCAGATGCTTTGACGAAACCGGTCAACACTGATAAGTATATATGGTGCAGATCCTCTTACGGCCTAGCAGAAACATAAGCAGCATGAAGATGGCAAGTATAGAAATGATAGAAGAATCACAAAAGATCAAGTGTGAAGACTTGATTAACTCATCAAAGTCTTCAAGTGGAGAATGTAAAGCCATTTAATTAGGTGGCATAATTGATGGGATTTGAGTGGGAGATGAGTTGTAATTGGTGGAGTATGAGTGGAGGATGAGTTGTTAGGCATATATTCCTCCTAAATTTATGACCATTATACCCTCACTCTTGCCTATAAATAGGCAATGCATTCAAGCCTATATGCACACCAAAATAGAGAGAAGAAGAAGAGAGTGAAAATAGAGTAATCCCACAAAATTGTGAGGTATTTGTGATAGAGTAAGTGAGGTGTTTTCTCCTAATAATAGAGAGATTCTTAGTTGTTCTCCTATTATTAGAGAGAGATTGTAATTCCCACATTACTTAGTAAAATCTTTCTATACTTGTCTGTGGACGTAGCCCAATTAGGTGAACCACGTAAATTTTTGTGTGTTCCATTTCTCATTTTATCCGGTCTCTTATCTTTTATCTTGTTGGGTTTGCATGCCAGCATCCTAACAATCCACTCGCAGCGGATGAGCACATGATAGGTGCCTGTGTGATTACAATGAAAAACACACGGTAACTTTGATTTTTTTTTGGGTAAAAGACAGCCACAAGTTCAAGTTTTAATAAAATTCTTGTTGTCCTCCTGGTATTCATCTCCTTAAATAGAGTTTTTTTTAACATCAACTAAATAGCAAAACTAACTTCTAGACTTCAGCTAGTCAAGAACATGACTTAGCAACTATTTAGGTGGTAGTTAAGGAGTTTGTTATTTCTATAATTTCAGATTTGAGTCCTTGATTGCTTATATAATAGTCACTAGAAGTTTATATGGTCATTAACTTCAAAATTTATGAGATTTATACACATAAACTGACTCAAACATCTATATTAATTAAAAAAAAATTATAACTTAGCTATTATTAGAGGTGACTAACCATTTACGACCAAATAAATAATAAGACAAATTCAAAACAATAAATTAGAAAAAAACAGTGCAACTCAAGACCTGGAGGATCTTCTCGGTGTATCAAGCACGTGGAAATGAAACAGACAGATGGTGTTCAATCCTTGTATAGAACTGATATGTTTGTACGCAGGCACGCTCGTATCTTAGCGTTCTTGTTGTTTACTTTTAACCACTTGTCTTTTCAGTACAGGCAGCCAAGCCGATAAAATTCTTCAGAAAATTAAGTTAATAGTGAAATCATTACAAGCTGGTATATACTTCTGTGTAAAGTTATTAACATTTTATTAGGTAAATAAAGGCAATCACTTGTAAATGGCTCTCTATACTTCAAAGCATGCGTAGTAATGGGCTTCCCTGACTCCATGTAAATGGCTTTCCATACCAGGAAGGCTTCCTGTCTAATGGTGGGGACTTGCAAGGTGTAAAACATGTAATCCTCTTGTCCCAGGTATCTCTCTTTCTGTCTCTCTTTCTCCCCGGGGAGAACACCATAATTTCCAATAATGTTGAGGTTTAACAAGGGTACAGTTATCTGTATATAGAGGTAGCGGTGGCATACAAGCTCTCATGAATAACAATGCAAGAAAATTGGCTGAGCAAGATGAATCAACGCTCGTAGCCTCGGGAATTCCTTACACCATCATCAGAGTTGGCATGTTGCAAAATACACCTGGAGGCACACAAGGTTTCAGCTTTGAAAAGGTATGTTAGTTTCAATGAGGTAGCCTGATTTTTTTCTGATCGATGAAGCACTGGCATGAATTTAGCCCATCAAAACCCTTACCGGATTTGGGCAAGAATGCTTACAAGTTGTGTAAAATTGATGATGACAGGGTAGTGCAGAGAAGGGGAGTCTTAGCAAAGAGGATGCTGCCTTCATCTGTGTGGAAGCTCTTGACGTCGTCCCTCAAGTAGGGTTTACATTCGAGGTCGGTGAAATATGAAACTAGTATATCCATTCATGAATCTTCCGTACAAGTCAAGGCTTGTTTACTGCATCCTTATTTATTCATTCCGACCATGCCATTGTCGTCCGATCTTCTCTTATTTATTTTACCTACTGATTGTCTGCTTCATTCTATAAACAGGCGGTCAACGGAGAAGAGAAGGTTTCAGATTGGAAAGAGCGTTTAACCAGATTGATGGAGAAATCAGAGCAGAAGCATCCTTGATATGTCTCAATTCAAGGCATGTAAACGTGTTCCTATTTCTTCATCTGCTCCCTCAGCTTAGAAACCCTGTATTTTACAATGAACTGGCCATGGGTGACCTCTGTTGCCATGAACAATCTGAGCAGCTTAAAACTATCCATCAATCCTCGGTCCTTTTACACCATCATGTTCGTACTTTGCTCTCGAGTATGACTTTTTTTCCGTTTAATGAAGCTAAAAAATCGCACGTACTTGGTGTTGGGATCCTACTAGCCCTCACCCACAAAGTACATTTTCAAGTTGAGCACTAGATGTCAGTGGGTTTTGGCCGCCGTACTCAGAGCGCCTGTGTAATGATGACCATTGTTTTTTAAGTTTTTGTTTAGAAATATATTTTTTTAAATCAGTATAGGAAAACAATTTAAAAAAATAAAAAAGTAAAAAAAAATTAATTTTTTTTAAAGTGGGATTGAATTGCTGTCCCAGGCCAGGTCAGCTTTCAGATGTTGTCCCTAGAATACTACTGCTCCACCGTAGAGGCAGGAGGTACGGAAAGCACTCACCCTCTCCCACTTCTTTTAAACAGTGATCCAGCCCCGCACATCCTCATGCCGACACTGAAACATGGAAACTGTGTTCGACGGGGATATAATTTTTTTAATTAAAAATACATTGAGGTAATATTTTTTAATAAAAATATTTAAAAATAAATAAAATAAATATTTTTTAAATAAAAAATACTTTAAAATCTAAAAATATCGAAAAAACCATTAGAATGCAGATACAAGAATCTCTGTCTTTAGGGGCTGATTCCCTTCAGGCTTCAACCCTGCTTTCCGTGGAGAACATGTCAGTGTTTTTTTTTACTTTAAGTTTTTAAACCAAAATCTTCTCCTCCGTCCTTTTCCATGACACCTTGGAGATTCTCCAAGTTCTTACACTACTCCTCCGCTCGTTCATTCTAAGATTTAATAGAATATATATATAATTGTGGATCTATATATAAGTAAGTAATTACAACTACATACTAAAAGAATATCATTTTTACCGTACTGTATTATTGAACAGTGCCATATTTTGTTTTCATTTTTGCCATCAAATCTTTTATTTTTATAATTTACATATTATACTGAAAATGTTTTATTTGTTTGGATAGATTCTCTCAATTCTACCAAAATAAATTTAAGGTTATAGTTAAAAAATGATAAATTAAAAAATCAAAATAAAAAATATAAAAAATAAACAAAGCTATTTGTTCAAAAGATAAAGGAAACTTCAATTTTTCCACCAAGTTTCAATTTATGTATTATTTGATCCAAATTTACTTTTTTGATTTTAAAATTTATTTTTTCATGTTTCGATGCAAAAATGTTGAAGTAGGAGAGGCAAAGTCATTTGAAAAATAAAAAGGCAGAGGAAGGGGTTGTTTGGACACATTCTAATCATGAAAAAAAACTAATCTTAATGTCAATAAATTGTTTTTACAAAAAAAATTCTATGAAGATAATTTGAAATTTTGTATTTTATTGAAAAAATATATGGAAGGTTTTTTATTCAATTTAATTTGAAATTTTAGATCAATTAAAAGAGTTTTTTTTGGTACAAATAGGCTTAATAAGGTTCATATAATTTTTTTTTAAGTATTTACATATGAATAAAAATAAAAAATAATTTTTTTATATCCAAAACCACATTCTCCAACTTCTCACCCACCAAATACAAACAACACGTCATCCATCTTACAAAAAAAAATTAAACCATGCTATCCACTCTTTATATATATATATAAAAGATATAAAAGATAGAAAAATACATGCACTTTTTTTTTTTGGGCCAAGCATGCGGTTCATGCTCCACTGTTGAAGTGACAGAACTATTTTTATATTGGCCTTCAATTTTTTTTAAATTCATTTTTTATTATTTTTAGATAAAATTCATTATAAATAAAATAATTAAAATGATAATTATTATATACGAATCTAATATGCAATTTTTTTTAAAAAAATATGCTCATAAATATTCAATAAAAATAAAATATCTATTTTGTTGTTATAATTTTTCACCATAATTTTTTCTTAGATTAAGTATTTTTCCCGTTTTATCAAGTGCGAATAATCAAATCATGATATTTTAATTTTTATTCATCAAAATTTACTTTTTAGATTATGATAAGTTTTAATTTATAAAAAAATGATTTTTATAAAAATATTACTGTAAGAAAAACATACAGAATTTCAGTTAAATAACTACTTTTTTTTTTCCTCCACAATTCAAATAATTAAAATTTTATCAAATACTTATCCTAACTGGCTTTAGTTTTTATTTAAAAACATATTATTGTAAAAAAAATGAATAAAAAAAGGAAAAATACATATTTTTTCTTCATAATTTAAGTTAAGTTGCGGTCTTCTTTTGTAAATATTTATTTTAATCACATCATAACAGATAAAAATAGATTTTTAAAACTTTCTCGTGACAGAGAAAAACTATTCCTGAATGAAGCCGAGCCTAGTTGTGGTGTATAATTGAGCAAGCTGTATCAAATAATTGGGGAAATGACTAGATCCAAAGTGCCAAAATCAAGACCAAAAAACTACCCTTTTGCAGCCATCATAATTCATCCTCGTGTCCGTCCCAATCAAGAAAGCTAATAAATGATTCCACGAATCACATACAGAAACGCAAAGGTTGATGGGGTCCTCAAGAAAAGCAATTGTTATATCAAATTGATTGTCTGTTTCTGTCGCTGTTTATGGTACAGTCATTAAGAAGATAGGAAGAACTGTGTAGTGTAGTGTAATGACATCACCAGCATGCGATGTGAAAGTCTATTAACAAAATCAAAGCTTCAGAAGAGATTTTGATGAAAAGGGAATATATGTGTAAGGAAGAAGATAAGGACCTTTAGTAGTAAAAGATAAGCAAAGTTCTCCCAGCTCCACTGCTGAGAGAATCGCTGGGCCCTTCAGCACTTGCTTGATTGATTACCTTTCTTCCTCTTAAAGTACTCATGTCTTCTCTTAAGCAACCCAAGGTAGCATCTTTCTTTTGATCTTAATTGATCTTTACGAAAACTGAAACTATCAAGGGATTGCTGTTAATGGGGACAAGGTAGTGGTCAAAAGAATAGTCATTACTCACCCAAAACATCAGATTCTATGCTCGATGTGCCTGATGCAAAGCCAGATAGATATAAATAAATAAATAAAGTTGCTTTCTGCAATTGTCCCAAAGGAACTAAAATCCAAAAGGACAACAATGCTCAGGGTCACAATACAATTGCCTGCTTCCACTTCCCCCACAACGTCAAAAAGGCTGGGAATAGTTTTCAGGTAGGAGCTTCAGGAGATGGGGTTTGTGAAGATCTAAGCAGCCTACCCCTCCCACTATCCACCCCAACAGGGAGTTGTAGACATCATGAGGAATCCTTTGACAAACATAGGAAAGAATAAAGGGGGTTTGGTGAAAGTTCCCATCAAAAGCAGATCAGTGGATATGATCAGCAAATTGTGATGATCATCATCAGTAAACAGACAAATCAGGCTTGGGCAGCTCTAACAACCTAAAAGATGAGTGGCCCTTTATCTTTTTAATTAACAGTTAATGATCAGATTATGGTCAATTAAACAATATAGTATCAAAACCAAAGTACAAATGAGGAATCCCACCACAGCACATCAATAAAGAACGAATAGAATATTAAATTAAATAGAAAAGAAATGGAACACATCAATCATTGTTAATTTAGACTTTCTATCACAGGTTTTTTTTTTTCCCTTAATAATAAAAACCTACAGAATTAGAAAGGCCTCAGAAATACAAATGTAATCAAGATGCATATTTGAAATTAATTCAGCAAGATGATAACTTTATGTGAATTAGTTAAATTGTTATTACAATGGATACGCAAGAAAATAAACTGAAGCTCAAAGCCTCAAAATCAAGTTCTTTTCCTCTAACATCAAAATGTTCTTATTCTGCTATGAAAGCAAGTGGATAATCTCCATGACAGCTCAGTTGAATCGATTACCCGGATCTAATTCTCTTCGAATTGGCCTTTCCATTGGTCTTCAATATCCCACTTGATTCACCTTCTGATGAAGGTTCCATTGACCTGGTGAAATTGCTCGAAAGATCAGCATAAAGATCCACCACCCTTCTAATGTTATTGTTTAGCTCCTTGATCAAACCAACATTTCGAGTCAGGTTGTCTGGGATCTTCGACTCGTGGTTTTGGTTTATTTCATTGATTAGCAACCTGTTTTGATCCAGAATGTCCTGGACTTGCACAAAACTCTTCTGGAATGTTTGCAAAACCTTGCCATCAACTTGGTTTTCACTGCTTAAACCTGGAAATAAATCACCATCCATCTCTATCTCTCCTCAATCGATCAAGACCAGTTTTTTTCCTACATACAAAAAAAACTCAGATAAATACCGGATAAAGGGAAAAAAAATAGAATACAGAATCAAAAGGTTAGCTTTACCAAATCTGATACCCTCTACCTTGCAATTATTTTATCTTATCTCTTTGAACTTTTACAAAGAAAAATCACAGACTACACGCAATTTAAACCTATCAGGTAACAAAGCCTAATGCAATAATTGTGCTTGGTCGACTGAAGTGTGCACACATTGTTTTTTTTTGCCTTTTCCTTCATTTTCTCAACAACCAAGCACAGATGGACAAGACAAGGTATAAAGCAGAGATAAAAAAAGAGGAACAACAACCATACATGTATTACTACCACTCGCTTCATAACATTCAAAAGAGAGAAAAGAAAGCAAACTGCTCTTCTTTTTTCCACAAAAAGGAACCTTTTCTCTAAAAACTCAATCCCAAGTTGAAGACCTTGTGTGGAGAATAACTGTAAACTATGAAAAACCCCAACAAAATCAGTCAATGCCAGATAAATTCCCATAAGAAAAAAGAAACAGCACTCTCACAAAAAAAAAAAAAAAACAAACAAGAAAAACATGAAAATGGATTGAGAAAAACAACAATACCAGATCAAATTAAATGAGAGAGTAAGAAAGAAAGATCTATATTTCCTGAAGTGGAAAAACAAAAGCAAAAGCCTCTAGGATACAACCAAGCAAGATTATATTTACAATACTAAAAGTAAAAAAAAAAAAAAACCCAATGACTGATAAAAATAAAGAAAAAATCTTCACGTTTTACACTTCAGTTCATATCTCATATTTTATGAGATAGACTGAAAAAAGAAACCCGAAAGGCATAAAATTATCTTTCAGAAAATCTCTTAATCTTGAAACAGAAACACTGATAAGAAAGAAGAAGAAAAGAAGATAAAAAATCTCATATTGACCGTCATATATCGTTGACTCCACTTACCTTGAACAGAAGCAGGAACATTTTAGTGGGCTGGAGGTAGAGAGAGGAAAAATGAATTTTCTCACGAAAACACAGGATTTTGTGGAGAAAGATTGAACGAAAGGGGAATGGAACTTCTGTGGGATAGTGAAGAAAGGCACAGAAATTATGAAAAGCGAAAAAAAAACAGAAAGAAAGATTTGATTGACAGAGAAATAAGAAAGAAATATTCAGAGAGAAGCACAGATATAACGATTTTGTTTTGTTGTTAGATTCTTTCTCTCTTCCTTCCTCTTACCTCGTTTATTTCACCAACAGTACTATCGTTTTTTTATTTTATTTTATTCTAGGCTGTAGGTTTTTATAGCCTGCGACACAACCAAACTTTAGTTTATTGCAAGTTTTAAATCTTAGCCGTCTATTTAAACCGACGCCGTTAAGAGTATCCGAGTTAAAGCTCCGAAGAATGACGTCGCATTGGACCTCCACTTACTAGGTTTTTTTTTTTTTTTTTTAATTTTTTTCAGGCACCCTGCCAGTGGTAATTTTCCGAGAAAAAACACAAAAAAACCCTCAAGATTTTCTCAGAAACCAAACACACCTACTCAATCACCACATGCCTCCATGGACAATCTCATCTCTTCAGCTCTCGAAGAGATTTGTTACCATGGTCCCAGCGGTGTCTCCCTATCCTCCCTCTGGTCGACATTAACGCCACAACCTTCTCCTTCAGTCAAAGCCTCTCTATGGACAAACCTACTTTCAATACCTTCTCTTCAATTCACTGTTCCTGGATACGATCTTCCGTTTAGTGCTGACGACAGTAAAATCAAGCGTTGTGAGCACGCCGAGAAGCTCGGTTTGAAAATTGTAGCCAAAGAGCACCTTAGGGATTCCTTTGTTGGTCTTTACGACACTCCGTCTGCTGGAATTTCTTCTAATCAACGCAATGCTCTTAAACGACTTGCCGTTGCTAGGTTTGTTCATCTTCGTCTTCCTGATTTTACAAAATTTCCCTGCTGATAATATTTAGCTTGATAATCATGATCAACGAATCATCTGGATTCTTGGAGTTTTATCCTGCCATATTTTCTTGATATCTAGCATTACTCTATAGCAATAATACGAGACTGCTTTCCAACGTAGTTGCAAGGCTTCCAAACCTTAACTACTTAAGTACCAAAGGCTGCGACTCCATTATTTATTGAGAATTGAATCATATTTGGTTGCATTTACTTAACTACTTAATTAGTCGATTAATTAGGCTTGCGTGAGAGTTAGAGTGATGTTTAGTGGTTATTAACATGTGCAGAGGGAATGGGATTACACAAAACGCACTGGCAAAGGACTTGAAGGTAGAAAATAATAACTTTTTTTATGTGGTGAGGAGTCTAGAATGCAGAGGGTTGATTGTGAGACAACCTGCGGTTGTGAAGATGAAAGATGTGAGTGTCACTACCAATATGTTGTATTTATATCGTCATGCGAAGCATTTAGGTGTTCAACAGAGGTTTGAGATTAATGAGGAATGCATGGAGGAAACTGATATACGGGGGGATGGTTTTGATGGAGAGTCTTCTTCTAAAGTGCTTGTGAGGGATTATTTACCGGCAATAAAAGCCATCTGTGACAAACTTGAAAAAGCCAATGACAAGGTAAACTCTTTTTTTGTTTTGCTTTTTAAAGTGTTTTTGATCTTGCCAGTTATGATTATGAAGTATGATGATTTTTGTGTTATTGAAGGTCCTTGTCATTTCAGATATCAAACAGGATCTTGGTTACAGTGGAACTAAAGGACACAAAGCTTGGAGAAATGTAAGTTTTACAAGTTACTTGTCTGTACTGCATATTTGAACTTGGTTCTGTTTCCTGGTTATTTCTGATTGTTTTTGTTGTAATATACTTTCCTCGATGTTCTCTTAGATATTGCGTAGGTTGAAAGATGCCTGTGTTGTTGAGGAGTTTGAAGCTAAAGTTGACGGGAAGGTTTGCTTAAAAAACCCCTCTTTGACTGTTCTATACGGTTATGTACAAAAAGTCCTTGAGTTTCATTCATCACTTCTCTAGTTTCTGTTTTTGGCAGGTTGAGTGTTGCCTACGATTGTTACAGGAGTTTTCCCCTAATAATTTTGAGCCCAAAACTCGTGGGTGTGGTGAAGATTGTGACAACAAAGTGCTGGTGAAATTCGGAAAGATGATTCAACAAACTGATCAACTTGTAGAACTTTCCCTTGACCAGCAAATTTATGATTTGATTGATGCTGCAGGATCCAAGGGGGCTACTTTTAGAGAGGTGGGCATTGGTTCTTGTACTTGTCTCATTGATTCTGTTGCAACTCTGTAGGTTAAAAATGCACTTTTCTTCTTCAATATTTGATTTATGGTTTTTTATTGACCAATCAATAAAAGAAAAAAGAGAAGCGTTTTCTTCTATATCCATGACCCTTCCTCTCCCTACTGCCTCCCCAAAACTATATTGTTGACCTTTCACTCCAATTATGTGCAACACTTTATATGCATTTATTAGCCAAGAAATGACAAAATTTTCCTATGATGGCAAATTGCTTTACTTTCACCATTATCTTTAGCACTTGATATTTTATTGTCTTTTTTAGTGTAATGCTGCTATAATTTGATGGAATCTTTGCAAATATCTTGTGCTTCCTCTTTTCTCACTGATTTTTTTTCTGACTTCAATTATTTTTTTCCAAATCAATATATCTATGAGCAGGTGGGTAGGAGGCTGGGACTTGATAAGAAAAGAAACTATCCTCGGTTTGAAAATATGTTGTCCATGTTTGGGATGCACAGGCAGGCAGAAATCAACAAAAGAACTCCAGAATATCGAGTTTGGACTGCTGGAAATTCAAGTTCTGACACACCAATTGCAGTTCTTTGTAAATCCAAAGCTGTCCTTGTTGACAATAATATTTCTGATTTGAATACTAGCAATGTTGATGTACCTGTCAGATCTGATGTAGATTTATTACAGCATGGTAATTCAACCTTGGGAATTTATTCTGCTTCGTCTGGAAAACTGAATGAGGAAATTGATACTGACGTATATAATGGCTCACCTGAGGATGGCAAAACTAACCATATGCAGCTCTGTCCTGGAAATGTGCCAGACTCACTCAACAGGCCAAGTAGTACAGCTTCCAAAGCTGAAATTTATATAGAGAGCATGCAAATGGAACCAGATGGTGCTTCATCAGTTATAACAGCACCAACTTTGTTGACGCCACATCATTCTGGATCCTCTCAGACAAATCCGCACATGCCTTTAACGGCTGATAGCGCCTTCAGGGAGAAGAAAATTCTTGAATGGTTGCAGGTATTCCATCATTCACTTCATGAGGCTTATGCCAAGAGATTAACTAATTCTTGTATCTTCTTTGATGTTTCTTGTAATTGTCGTTCTAGCAACTCATTTTCAATATGCTTGTTTTGTGTAGGACAAGATATTCATTTTGAAACCTGAGATACACAAGTGGCTTAAGAGTCTTGAGGACAAGGGTACAACAATTGACAGGAAGACTGTTGATCGAATTCTATATAAGCTTGAGCGGCAAGGACACTGCAAATTGCAGCACATTAATGTCCCTGCTGTCACAAATTGTGCCCGAGATCGTACCATCCTAGTTGTTCTTCACCCATCTGTTCAAGGTTTTCCTCCTGAACTAATGGGTGAAATTCATGATAGAGTGAGGGTTTTTGAAAAGCAAAGTCGTGGAGAGGGGTCATCCAGGTTGAAGATTAAGGAATCAGTTCCAGTGTTAAATAGTGTAACAAGAACTCAGATGCATGTAGGTTCAGAAGAAAAGACTGCTAAATGGGAAGCCATGCGAGCCAATGGGTTTGTGTTAGCAAAAATGGGCCGTGCTCGGCTGCTTCATATTTTTTTGTGGAATCATCTAAGTAGTTTGCCTGAATGGAACGGTGATTTATCATCTGGGGCATATTCATATGCTTACAAGTTGTTTGAATTAGAGTCTGTTATTGATGCCATTCCAATTGAGCTGTTCTTACAAGTGGCAGGATCTGCTCAAAAGTATGATGATATGATTGAAAAGTGCAAGAGGGGTTTGCGTCTCTCTGATCTTCCTATTGAAGAATACAGAAACTTGTTGGATAGTAGGGCCACAAACAGATTATCATTGATCATTGACATTTTACGTCGATTGAAGGTATTGTTTCTTGGTTAAAGATGACTTTGCTCACATTCTTAACTTGTTTCATGATGTTTGTGGTACTTTATTGATTTGGCTTGTTTATCATTCTTTCTGTTATCATGTTGTGCTTTGAAAGTTTTTGATTCAATAAAATCTGTACCTTTACCCATGTCTAGCTTCAAGTAGCAATATTTAAGATCATTTCAAATTCATACAATCATTTACCTATCTACATGTGAAAGGGTTCTTTAGTTTGATAAAAGCAAGGAATAGTGTATGTGGTTATCACAATGCTAAGGCAGTTGGGGTTTGGTTTCTTTCCATCATATGCAACAGTCTTCCCCTTTGAACAAGAAAATTGTATTTATTCACAGTTGTTTTTTCATCAATGTGCATCAGTCATCTTACTCACCTTACAATTGTATCTGATGAACATCTTTCATCTTCAATTGTATCATACCTCTCATCTGGTTCTGTGATGTAGCTGATTCGTTTAGTACGTGATGGGCATTCAGAGGATGGTGTAAAGGCTCCACATGCCAGATCCAGACATGCAATGGAGCTTAAACCTTATGTTGAAGAACCACTATCAATAGTAGCAGTATCTAATTTAAGATGTCTTGACCTTCGTCCAAGAATAAGACATGATTTTTTTCTGTTAAACAGAGAAGCTGTTGATGAGTACTGGAAAACTCTGGAGTACTGCTATGCTGCTGCTCATCAAATAGCTGCTAAACATGCATTTCCTGGTTCTGTTGTACCTGAGGTAGGTGCATGGTGTTTTGTTTGCCAAGTTTTTCTCGCGTAGGCATAATCAAAAGTTTCATCATGTGGAAATTATATTGAATATTGTGTTGTATCACTTATAAGCAAGAAGTTATACTTATTGGTGAGCATTGTATTCCTTTGAGTCAGTATTGATGCATTGGTTGAATCCTATGGTGAACATTGTACGCGGACACTTTCAATCATGTACTTCATGAAACACAAAAACACTTACATGTTTGTGTCTCATTTGAAATGGACTGTTTCAGGTTTTCCATCACCGATCATGGGCATCGGTTCGAATTATGTCTTCTGATCAGCGTGCTGAGCTCCTAAAACGGATAGTGACGGATGA